AGATAGAGATATAGATATAGATATAGATATAGATATAGATATAGATATAGATATAGATATAGATATAGATATAGATATAGATATAGATATAGATATAGATATAGATATAGATATAGATATAGATATAGATATAGATATAGATATAGATATAGATATAGATATAGATATAGATATAGATATAGATATAGATATAGATATAGATATAGATATAGATATAGATATAGATATAGATATAGATATAGATATAGATATAGATATAGATATAGATATAGATATAGATATAGATATAGATGTAGACATAAATTACAGGGTATTTGTTTGCTATACTCCGTCACCTACTTAAGCATATAAGACTAGTTGATTCTGCGATTTTTTTGCGTTTCGAGACACGTCATTTGTCATTTATCAGAGGCCTTTTAGCGTTCGGCTTAATTGACTTCTTCTGCAGTGCAGAAATTGTTGTGCCCATAGACTGGCACAGAAAAGAACTTTTGAAGTCAACCATCAGACAGCAGACAGCGGGTATCGGGCATCGGGAAGCAGGCATCATCTTTTAAGCAGCTGTGTGTTATGGCCAATACCAATTGGCCATAGTGCGGAACATTTTGCTTCATTACGTCAAACCATTTCGAGTCTTAGCCATGGAGCGAGCAGCGATCGCTCGCTGTCTAGCTGGCACTGCAGAACCGTTTTAATTAGATGTAACCATAATAAATCAACAACAACTACAACTACAACTAATGTGTTTGTGTGTCGAAGCGTGAGCCCAGGACACTTTTTTTGTTCCCATAAGCCACAAGACAAATGACGAGTGCAAGACCAAAGAACAACAACAGAGAGATCGAGAGGAGAGAGAAATTCTCTGGCATTCCCCAAGTTGTTGCTGGCATTATGTAATGGCAGCTGCGCAACAGTTGAGCAACAGCTGAGCAAATGAGCACTTGACATGCGAGACTCCACTTTGCAAACTCAAAATGTTCACACAAAACACTTGCAGCAAGTTCATGAGCTTCGAGAAGCTTGAATCCTTCGCACAGTTAGGTTTTTGGTGGGGCAAAATATTATAATACATATTTGTGTATATTAAGTGGGATAACTGAGAAATAATTGATTCTCGTATGAGAATTGTTCAGGAGAAATGGGAATATTTTGGGCAAGGTAGCTAGCTTATGGGTACTTGAACAATTTTAGGGGCGTGGCATAAAGGCGAATAGAGAAATTATATTATATCAACAGTATGGGAGACAATTAAGTGAGAGAGAGAGAGAGAAAGAGAATGAGAGAGAGAGGGAATCAAAAGAATGATAGGAATATAAATACAGTGAGACTTTAGCTAGTGAATTGGCAGATTGAGAGAGATAGATAGAGAGAGAGACAGAGCGAGAGAGAGAGAAAAAAGAGAAACAGCGAGATTGAGAGACTAAAAGAAGAGCGACTGAGTAGAGACTGAGACGGAGAAAGATTGAAAGAGAGAGAGAGAGAGAGAGAGAGATACAGCGGAAGAAAGAAAGAAAAGAAAAGAAAGAAAGAAAGAGACACAAAGAAAGAAAGAAAGGGAGAGAAACAGATACAAAGGGAGAAAGAGGGAGAGAGAGATACAAACGGAGAAGGAGAGAGAAATAACTCGAATTAATGAGAGAAAAATATAGGAGAGATTGAAACGGAATGGGAAAGATACTTAAACTAGTAATATGGAATATAAAGACGCATGAAAAGTGAGAGAGAAAGATGTGAGCAGGTACATTTAAGAAATGGAAAAGAAACCATGAGAATGGATAGAGAGATTCTATTGTAGAATTTAAACTAGAAACTATGGAGTTGGGCCTCTATTTACCTTTCCATCCATCAAAATATTCTTCTGCCTTGTAGCAGGCTTCAGTGTACTTTAAATTTCGTCTCATAGCTAAAAACTGAATTCCCATTGTATTTTTAACTGTAGTTATACATGTGTGTATAAATAAAATTACAGACAAAGTGGATAAGATAAGATCATATGGTTTCTGATATTTTGCAGCAAAAGCACTGCATAAGTAGCCGCGGCTTCTTTTGGCCAATTGTTCGATTCAATGGCCAAATCAGATGATCCTCAGGGCGCCAGTGAAGCAGTTAGATGGTTCGTTTGATGGCGGCCAATTGCGATTTGATTTGGTGGCATCTAATGACACAGATTATGCAACGATATAAGCCAATGATGTGGACTAGTTTAGGCCACAATGTGGTTGTTGCTCATGTTGTTGCTGCTGCTGCTGTTTTTGCTTTGTTTTTGGCTCAAAGCTGAGGCTTAACCCACATTCGTGAGGCGCGTTGCTAGCTACCATTTGACAAACGCCTCAGCAAACGCCAAATGCAAATTGCAGTCAGTCGTTGGCTTACTCTCGCTCTCTCTCTGTCTCTCTGTCTCTGTGTCGCTCCATCTCTCTCTCTCTCTCGCTAAGCCTGTTTGCTCCTGTGCTCATGCAATTTTCTTGTTGAAACCCTAAAACATTGCACTTGGACTTGGACTTGGACTTGAACTTGCGAATTTGCTGGTCGCAGCAGCAGCAACAGCAGCAGCAGCAGCAGCAACACCAACGCCAGCAGCAATCAGCGGCAAGTGAATGAGCTTAAATTGTCCATGGCCGTGCGAGAGAGATAGATAGAGAGAGGGGGCAGCTAGCTGAGTTGGGTCTGCAGCTGCATTAGCCGCAGCGCTTAGATGATGGTTGGCTGGCTGGTTGGCTAGCTGGTTGGCTGGCTGGCTGGTTGCCTGACTTGCCAGATTGTTGCATGTTGTTGCCTCAACGCCCTCAGTACGTTATTATGGGGCTGTTATTGTTGCAACTAGTTGCTGTTGTTGTTGCTGTTGTTGTCTGGTCGCTCGTCTGTGGAGCATCAAGGCACTGGGGCAGCGAGGCATCAAGTTCGCAACGGGCGACAGCCGCAGCACGCATACCCCAACGATTGCTGCTGCTAGAGCGAGAGAGAGAACGACTAAGACGGATGCAGAGCAACCGCAGTTACTTTGGCTAGCACACACACACACACAGACTTGCACACACAAGCAAGCTGCATAGACGACAAGCCTCAATTAAGTTGCAATTGCCGTTGTTGTTGTTGTTGCTGTTGCTGTTGTTGCTCTTGTTGTTGCTGCTGTTTGGCGTTGGCGGCGTAGGAATTTTGCTCGCTGCTGCCCACGCGCTGCTGCTGTTGCTGCTGCTGGTGCTGCTGCCAGTTGCTGCTGCTGATAAAGTCCAAAATGATGTACTACCTTCTGCTGGTGGCTCGCTGGCTTGTGTCTCAGCTTTAAGCAGCAGCAGCAGCAGCAGCAGAGGCACAGAGCAGGAGCGCAGCGCGGTTGACTTCAATGGGCCCAACAGATTTACATAGTTATATAATAATAATTATAATCATTATTATTATTTAAATGGGCTATAAAAAAGCTGATAATAATGATAATGACAGATACATATTAAGATAATATTATGGGAAATGGATAGTTAGATATGATATGAGGATCGATAGGATAAATGATCCGTTATAATACACAGGTAGATAGATAGATACATAGATACATATGTATATATAAATGGATGACAAAAGTATACATACTTGTATATGAATAGATAAATATATGATATATATTATAGTATATATATGGATAGATAGCAAACGAAAAAATGTATGGTTAGATATATGGCATATATCGTATAGATATATCCATTGATAAATGCATATAAATTGATTGTAACGTATGTCTATTTAGATTGAAATATATATATGATATATGTATATGATATAACAGATGGATATAGAAAATAATCACTAGAAGACCTCCAACACTTCTCGAGATGTGAATCTTTGAATATTTGTTGACTTCGCTCTAGATAGTTAGATCGCAAACTTCTTCACAGGTTTCTGAGGTATCGCTCGCCTCCTCCTCAAGGATGTCAAAGCGCATCACCATCTCCTTGTTGAGATCGTTACAGTACTGTTGCAGCTCCTTGATTTCCAATTCGAACTCACGTATCTCGTAGTTCAGCTGGCGATAGCTCAGAAAAGTTCTAATGAACTCGGCCTCCTTTGCCTTGTGAGCTCTAATGATGCATCTGCCTTCATGCTTGCAGAGCTTCTTCTGCACCATAACAGCGAAGTTCTGCTTACAAGCGGGCAGATCTTTGACCACCTCCTGGCTCCATTCCTTATATTGCTGCGTGAACTCGCCCAGCTTGCGAACACGTCGATTCTCCTGGCACATCTGGCGCCGCATCTTGCCGAGCAGAGTGCGTATCAGACGATAGTTGCAGAGCAGCTCATCGATCTCGCATTGCAGGCGATGCTGGGCGTGCTGTAGATTGCGCACCGCCAGCTCCTCCATCCGGTTGAGGACAATGTGGAACGGCTCGTCCATGGGCAGCTCGTTGGCGGCCAGCTGTTGCTGGTACGGACTCAGCACCCTCTTCACCTTCACGGGCATGCACTCCTTGAACTCAAAGACGCCCAGCTCTGGCACAGGCGTGCCCGACGACGACTCCAGCTCGGTAGTGGGGTAGCTCATATCGGAGCCCCGCACATAGTCCTGACGGTGCTTGATGGCCAATTGCATATGCTCGATGCGGCGTAGTAGGCAATCGATTTCACCGACAATTTTCAAGGTGCGATCCTCGTCATCGGTGCGATCCTCGGTCATTAAATGATCCAGGCTCAGCTCTTGTTCCTCCTCGCCGCCGTCGGTAGTGAAGCTGACCTCGTCGTCATAGTGAAAGATCTCGATTTTGCGACATCTTATACGATGGGTCAGCAGATCCATATACTCAACTGGAATCTTATCGCAGTCAGCCATCTGCTGAATCATCTTATCCAGAGAGTCCTCAAGTACCACCGCCATTTTGCCTATGCCCCCTGCTCTCTCCTCTCTATCTAGATAAATGCGTTTGTCTTGACTCTAAGCCACTTCTATTGCAATAAGAAGCGCGTTGTGTGTTTCAACTATGACTGAAATTTATTTAGGTGTGATTCGTAAACTTGTTCCACGTCAAATGAGTTCGACTATTGCCTCGACTGCTCAGTCCAAATTTTCGGGTAGCTAGATCTCAGTTTTTGAATACGCTCCTGTGCTTTCAGTACTGGCGGGCTGATAAGAAAATTTATGGTTAGTCTGTTGCTGTGGCGGCATAATTGCGCACCCACATTCACATGAAGAGCCACGGGCCTTGGGGCCTCGCCATGCTTTGGCGTGTGTCTCAGCTTCGGGTCGACTCGGTCCGAGCGGTGTCCGCCTCTACACGCCGTCTTGCGCTGCATTCAGTTCCATCTCTTTGGCAGTTGACTTTGTTTACCCGCAAGTTGCAATTTTCTGCGAAACCATCAGCCGCAGAATTGCTTTCTGCTGCCGTCTGCTGATAAGTCCCGCTTCTGTAGCTGCTCTCTCGATGTCTGTCTCCCCCTCTCACCCGCTCTCCCCCTCACCAGCGCTGTCTATTTTGTTTTCCTTTTTTACCAGCTAGCATCTAGTGCTAGTATTTGTGGCATTGCAATTGGGCATCGGCTGAGGTTCGAGATTTACTTTGGCTTTGACTGTGGCTCTTGCTAATTGCTTTTCAAGATTTCGGGGCTAGGGCGAACGACAACGAGTGCCCGCAGTGTTGTATAATAATGTAATGTGCTACTCCTTGGGCCACTGTGCAGATCTCTGTTGACAGGCTTTTAAATGCCCGATCGCGCTGTCACACTGCGGAATTTCGCAGGCCCACTGCAAACCCAGTGCCAATGCCTGGCCAAACGGGGTCACTCCTCGGCCCGCCTGCCCCACGGCTCTGCCAGCTGCGGCGTTGAGTGACTGTTGTCTGCACGTCACATCGGCCACACTTCTCTCTTTGCCATAGGCTACGATTTTTTTTTTTTTTTTTGGTAATGAATTGAGTTGCTAGAGTTGCTGCTTGAGTTGGCTTGCGGAAGTGCATAATATTCATGTGGGTTGCGCCTCTTAAAAGATTGTCAGCTGCATTATGCGAATGCTAATTGAAAAATCTGTGCAGCATAAGAACCACAGACCGAGTAGGAATAATGACTCTGGTGATGGACAAGCGGAGATTAAGAGCTGGGAGTATTAGCGTCCCTGCCTAAAAGAGTCAAAGCGTTGACTAAGTTAACAAAGATCGATTCGAAACTGTGAGCTAACTAAGCTAGAAGCTAGTTAGTATTCGCCGGATCGAAGAGTTAGTTAATACTGTGAGCAGGAGCCGACTGCCTAGGCAGAAACTGAGCATCAACTTGAGAGATGACTGAGCGGAGTCTAATTAGAGAGTAGGAGCTCAAAGTTTGGTTGATTAGGGATTCAAGCAGTGTCTAAGGTTTGTCGAGGAATCTAGATAGAGGTTATAGAAGGCTAAGAAGGTAGCGAGAGTTAGCTTGATATTCGAGCAGAGAAAACGATGCGAATTGTGTGGGCAGCTGAGAACTGTCGCAGGAGTTGAGCAGAGACAAGGACTTAGCTCGTCATTTGGGAAGGGTCTGAGTTAAGGATAAAGAGTTGAGCTGAGCTGCTGAAAGTTAGATTGGTGCTTAGCAAAGCTCTGCAGGCCAGCTGGACTTTTCAGCAGGAGTAGCTACGAGCTCAGCCGAGACAGGCAGGAGCATGGCGCTTAGCCTGTCGGAGGTAAAGAGCTGATGCACGTGTGGGAACTTAGAAATGCCTTAGAGCAGCCTAGCAGTGGAGACTTAGCTGACAGCTAAACTAAGACGCAAAGCGGAATACAGGTACTTAGACTTGGCTGAGCTCAGAAATTGCTACAAAGACTTGGCTTAGGGAGTTACCAAGTTTGAAATGTTATGGCAATGTCAACAAACATGTTTTGTTTTTGCGGGCAATGGAAGGCAATCTGCCAACTCATTGTCCGCCCGATAGTGTTGAGCTGTACTTTTTGGTTCTCACTAATTTGTGCAGAGGTTTTCTTCCAGTTCGTGGGTAAAAGACCGACCCAATGGCCAGGGGAAAGGTGACGAAAGAAAGACGGAGAAAAAAGGTAGAACTGTACCGCTAAAGCGGCTAATCACATCATGGCACCACAACCGACCCCACCCAGCGTCCAGCGCCCAGCGCCCAGCGCCCAGTGACCAGTGCTCAGAGCTTAGAGCTTGTGAACTGCCACAGCGATCGCTGGTCATGCAGGAAGTTCAAGTGCGAGAGAGAAATGCCCAATGACATGTGCGATTGTGAGTTATGTACTCCGCTTGCAGTGGCTGTGCCAGGTACCAGAGACCCCACCAGGTTCAGCTCAACAGCGATGGGCAAATAGAAAAAGCGAGTAGCTAAATGCAATATACATTAGATATACTTAGAACGAGGCTATAGAAAATTACGATTTATGTAACAAGTCGAAGAATCTGAGCGCATTTATTTCCGCATCTACAGCTGGCAAAAAATAGCCAAGGATAGAAAAGCAAAGCAAAGAAACGATTATATATATATATATATATAAATAAATATAGGAAAAAAGTACAGATGAGATGAGAGAACCACAGCTTGGCTGGCGGAGTGGGGAGATGTTGAAGCGCTCGTAATAGTCGGTAAGTCAGTCATTCATTCAGACAGATTGACTTTGAGACGGATAGACGCAATAGACAGTCACAGTCGTCGTCGAGTCAGTTATTAAATGTGACCATAAAAGCGAGAAAGAGAAAGAGAGAGAGAGGGAGACAGGGAGAAAAACAATACAGAATCCGAAACACAACACACAAACGGTGAAGATCGTAGCAAAAGTTATTACATAACAGGCCGACAGCTGGGTGCTGACTGGAGCGACTGGAGGGGGAGGCGGGGTGAGCTGAGGTGGCTAAGGCGGTAAGACTTATAAAAATCATAGCACTGCGCGAAGCGTAAAAGCAAAGAATTATAATTTTCCAATCAACTGATAAATTTTTAATGATGCAACTTGCGACGATGCAACGATGACGATCGACTTAGATGGGGGCATGGTGATAGGCGGGTAGGGGGGGGAATGAGAGGCTGGCACCAAGGCCAGGGGGGAGAGTCAGTGTGTATAGTGCGAAAGACCTGAGGAAAATGTTGTTCAAAGTGCATGCTGGAATTTTTCGATGCATTCGCCGTGGCATTGGACATGTGTAAGAAACATTCCCATAGGTGTGATTGCTGGCGCGCAAGAACAAGTAAAACACCAAATTACTGTTACTGGGCATTACACACACACACACACACACACACACAAACATACATACAAACAGGGAGTGAGAGCGGTCGGGTGAAGAGGCATCTCTCTAATGCACTTGGCTGCAGGCCATTGGCATTGGGCTTTTGTGACTCTCGTTGCGGACCACAGCGTCGCCGTGATCGATGATGAGCTGATGATGCGGTTGACTGCCTACAGAGTGCAGCCGTCGAGCCGAGCCTCAGATGCTGACACTACCGACCGACACTGACTCTCCAAGCTCAGCTCCACACACTCGCCTCACCAACTGTCCAACTGTCGTACTGTCTAATGTCCCTCGTCCGTTGTCCGTTGTCCGTTGTCCGTTGTCCGTCGTCCGCTGTCCGTTGTCAGTTGTCGCTTTCGCACTTGCTTAGCCCGACGATTGTCCACGACACATTTCTCATGCAAATAAGAAACACCGCCTTGTCGCTGCTACTGCTGCTACGGCCTGGGCTATTGACTTGCCCCATCTCGATAGTCGATGGATATGCAAGAAAGGTGCTTGTCCACACAATATCTGCTACATTATGCATTAGTTACTTGGCTAAATACTATCCGAAAGGAAGCCGGCAAAAATCATGGCGGCTGCCAAGGGGAGAGTAGAGCAGAGATGAGCCAGCTGTCAAGTTGATTATAGAAAGTTGAGACATTTCTCAATCTATTTCTATTTTAGTTAAACTGATATAGATACTTGGAAATAATTTCATGATATTTGGTAGACAGGCATCTTGCTACGGTTTTTTAAGGTTCTCTCTCACTCTCGCTGTCTGCCTGCCTGGAAGCTACTTTGCCATTTGATTTCGGCAGGAAAATCGGGGCGGCCTTGCGGTACATCGTCTGCAAAGGAAGAGTAATTGCTGGCACCAAATACAGTGCTTATCATAATTATAGCCCACTTTAAATCCACTTAAGCGAATCGGCTGAAAATTTTTCCCAAATGGCATATTTCCCCAAAATTTTCAAAAATGAGTAGTTCAGTATTTCAATTATGAATGGCAAAAAACTTGTTCACTTAAAATTAACGATTTAATAACGATTTCTTAAATATAGCCCATATTCATATTGTGGTAAAAAAAAATCAGAATTCGTTGCGGATTGATGGAAAAACTAATGGTAATACTTAGTCCGGCCTCCATTTGTCTTAGTTAAATCAAAAATTCCCTTCCTCTTTGAAACCACTAAATTTAATAAAAGGTTCTTTTCGAAACTTTGTCATTCATGTAGAATTTGCGTTTTAAGATATCCAACTGTCTCCAATTGGCGATTTTTGGCATACACACGTCTTGCAAGATTACCCCAGACATTTGCTATGGGGTTGAGATCTGAAAAACATGCTGGCCAGTCAAGGACATCAACATGAAATTCCTCCAAACACTCTTTTGTACTCCTTAGGGGGGTATAGGGGGGTATAGGGGGGGGTGGGGGGGGGGGGGGTATAGGGGTACTATCACAGGATCAAAGTCATGTGTGTCCTTGATGTGCAGGATAATGACAATTCGCTTAACAAGTAGAAGGAGCCAAAGGAACCTTTATTTGACTGAGGATGCTGTATAAAATATAATTAGTTATCCATGCAAGGATTTCAAGAGGTCCTAGAAGTCTGTTTCATGTCTCTCTCACTCTCGCTGTCTGCCTGCCTGAAAGCTAATTTGCCATTTGATTTCGGCAGGAAAATCGGCAATTTGATTTGTATTAAAATAATGGCATATGGGTCAAGCGCGGCCTTGCGGTACACCGTCTGCAAGGGAAGAGTCATTGCTGGCATCAAATATGATAAATGAATTGAGTTGAGCTGATGTTGTTGCTGTTGTTGTT